ATGATAAAACACATTTGTTTATTTATCTTTTCTGGAGAGCTAATTGTTGGGCTTGCTTTAAAACCAGGGTTGCAGGTCTAGCCACCTATCCTCAGGTTTTTGGAATGACGTAAAGGAGTCTAATCGTGGCAACTTCAGCAAAATGATTCATTTAACAGAGCAAAAAGATATGTGGCAGAAATATGTGCATTATCAGGTCCATGCTCATCCTAGGGCCCCGGATTTTTCCCTAAGGTCCCTTCCAATTCTGAATTCTGGGGTGTGTGTGTGTGTGTATGTGTGTGTGTGTGTGTGTGTGTGTGTGTGTTTAATGCAAAGGCTACCTAGCTCTTGTGTATTACATAATGTTAATGAACCTCTTAATGAGTGTCCCTGCTTCCAGTCATTCCTGTCTTCAATCCTTCCTCCTATAGTTGCCAAATGGATTTTCCTAAAACACAACGATGACCGTGTCACTCCCCTATTCAAAAATCTTCAGTGGGTCTCTATGTTGCCTCGAGGATAAAATACAAAATCCTCAGCCTGGCATTTAAAGTCCTTCACAATACGTCTCCCACTTAACTTTCTACCAGAGTCTTGACTTCACATTACCCTTCCTTAAGTTGTCTCCATTTCAGTCGAGCTGATCTGATGGCTGTTTCCAATACACAACATTCCATCTTTCCACAGTGGTTCTCCACACCACCCCACCCGGCCCAGAATGCATTTCTTCCCTACTCTCTGAATCCCTAGTGTCCTATTGCAGTTTCTCTGAGATTAGTTCTTCAGCTCCTATTAGGATGAGTAGATTGGGCCAATTCTTAGGTCTCTTCTCAGGATACTAGAGGTGTCTGAGGGGTCAGGGAAGGTTTTGTAATATTATCACTCACAAGCCCCCACTGCTGTGCTCATTATCAATTAGCCAGCCAGTTAATTAACCTTTAGGAATAGGTATTAACTAAGGTAGTATAGAAAGAACAGTTGGCACAAAACCATTGCCCCAGAAGTCCAGGGCACACTCTCTCACAAGTATATAGAGTCCAGGGAAAAGTGGATCAGAGCTAAGCTCATTTGGCAAAGGAGCGACTCCCAGCTTCCGGTTGCATGGAAGTACTTCTCTCCCTTTGTGCAGTACTCACGAAGTTCCTCTGCGGTGGCCAACACTCTCGGCACACCGGTGCCCTTGTAGAGTCCCGAGGCTGCCTATATTTGGCGTATTTAGTTTGTCCTCAAATGTCAGAGCAAACGTTGCTATCAGTCATCACTGTTCTGGGGACATTGCCGCCATGAGAAGTCTAAATATTCCGACCTTTTGAGGGTTACAAGGTTTTCCTCTGGTCAGGGAGGAGAGGGAGAAATAAAGATTCCCACCCCTCTTGTTACCACCCCAAACATTTCCCTCCCCGTCAGGTGGGCTTGCTATTGAAATTCTATCTTCTCAAATGGCCTGCTGTTTTATCCCAAGTCTCACCGGCTGTGACTGATTCTCTACAACCAATCATTAGCTATCTCCCAGGTGTTTTCATCTGCTTTCATTTAATTTATGTCTAGTTTATACCTTTAATTGACTAAATCAATAGAAGCGTCTTGTGATTGTTTACCTCTTTTTGGATGATGGAACGGTTCTATAAACAGGCATTTTCACCTGATAAAGGTGTCAGGTGTAGAATATCTGAGCAGCTTTGAGCCTGCTTTATCTGTACATACCATACAGGCCAAGAATGGAGGTTAGGTTGGTAGCAGACACAGTGACTTGTCCCAGGCCTAGTTTGCTCCTTTGTTTATTTACCCATTCACCGACATGTGAGAAGGGAAGAGACTTGAAAATTGGAAAACTGGAAGATCTAGAACTCCAGACATGTTTGGAAATTGTTAGGCAAATAACCATTATATGGATTACAGCATAGCCTTCAGAGGCTTGTGTTCCCTCCCTATGTTGGACTAAAAACTGGGAAGTATATTAAGTGCAGCCCTTGACCTAGAGGGCCACATATGGCCTCCAGGCCGCAGGTTCCCCACCCCTGGCTGAGCCCTGTCAAGCCGAGACTATGAATCTTGAAGACCCGGTGGAAGCGGTATAATGACATTGCTAGCTGACACCGGCAGTCTGTGGAGGAGTGAACTGTCTCCCACGGATGTGCTCTTTCTGCACATCTGTGTCCACTCTTCCCACTAACACCGTACATCCTGGGAGAGTGCATTGCCTCTGGTTTGTGGGAGAAATGGTTTGTTCCTATGAAATGTTTTATTATTGCTTTTCTTGCTGAACTTAAGCAACCAATGAAAAAAAAATTTTAAGAATGTCAAAAATAAAGATGTTTTCCAAAAAAAATTTTTTTAAGTTGCTGAAAGAGTTGATAACATTTAAAAGTTGGCATGATATGTTTGGTGCAGAAGTTGGAAGTTCCTCAAATACATTTGCTTTGTATTAATTATGTCCTCTGACTACTAAAGGTAAAAGCATTGATGGGGGCTCATGAGTTTTGGTTTTAGAGATGCCTGAGTAGCATTTGGATTCTGAAGTAGCCATTTGGGATGGGGGCAGGGGAAGATCCTGTGAGGGTGACCATTAGGCATTACAGAAATAAATCATCTAAAGTAGCAGCCAATTTAGAAGATGCTTGAAGACAGGTCTAGTCTCAAACGAAGAAGTATGAACATGCACCTGGAAACTGAATGCTGATAATTGTGTAAACTGTGTGAGGCACTTTCTGTTATCCTAGCATGAAACCCTTTACCCTACCAGGGAGGGAACTCTTCAGGAAGCTAGGTGGTACAGTACATAGAGCACTGAAGTCCGGAAGCCCTGAGTTCAAATGCTGTCTCAGAAATTTATCGGCAGGAGGGGATAGATGGGGAGAAAATTTAGAACTCAAAATCTTATGGAAGTGAATGTTGAAAACTAAAAATAAATAAATATTTTTTAAAACTCAAAAAACCCATTGTGCTTTATAGATATGCAAGTGGATTTTTTCCATTTTATTTTGTTTGTGTGGATCCTTTATTTTTCTTTTCCATTTTAGTGGTTAACCTTCTGCATCTCTATGTATTTTTTCAATCATCAAATATATATTTTAAAAGAGTACACAAAAGCAAAGCAGTTCTTAAAGTTTTATATTTTTAGAACTGGTAGTTGAATTCCTGTGTTTTGGACTTCAGAAAAGCAATTTTATTGTCTATGTAAACAATTTTCTATAAAACAGAACGTAGTAGCAAACAATACCAGTGAGTATTAAGAACTGAATATTAAGGACAGATTTTAGTGACTCATATTGGTGTTGTTTTCTAAGAAATATTATCGATATCTTGAGATGTGTTACCACTAAATTTTCATTTTCATTTCTGTTGTTTTTATCTATTAAAAAAACCGCTAAAAATTTATCAGCAGTAGGACCCTAGGCAAGTCCCTCAGACTCAGTTTCTTCACCTGTAAAACAGGGATAATAATAATACCACCTCCCTCCCAGAGCTGTTGTGAGGATAAAATGAGATAACGTGTACAGTACTGTGCAAACCTGAAAGCACAAAACAAATGTTAACTGTTATTATTCTCAGACCGTGTGTGTTAGCTACTTCCTCAGATTCAGGTCAGTCCTGGCACTCACCCTTTCTCTGCTCCCCAGACCAGCAGCCAATGTTTTGACCAGCCACCGCCTTCTATCCCTTCCCTGTGTTACTTTCCAATCAGTCATTACCTTTTCTCCACACTCTCTGTGGAATCCTTCAGTTCATACTGCTCGAGGCCCCTTTTTTTCCACATATAGCTACTGTCCAAGCAATCTCTGAAGTGTTAGGAATCCGTTAAATGCATAGCGGCTCCTCCTTTTGCTATGCTCGTTCAGTCATTTTTCAGTCGTGTCCAACTCTTAGTGACCCCAATTTGGGATTTTCTTGACAAAGATACTGGAGTGGTTTGCCACTTCCTTCTCCAGCTCATTTTTTTACAGATGAGGAAACTGAAGCAAACAGGGTTAAGTGACTTGACCAGGGTCACACAGCAAGTATCTAAGGCCAGAGTTGAACCCGGGAAGATGAACCTTCCCGATTCCAGACCAGATGGTCTATCCACTGTGCCACCCCTGCTGCTCTTATAATGTTTAGAGAAGTCATTGTTGGAAGGTGAGAGAAGGGATTAGGGTAATGAATTGGAGTGGAAGATTTCCTGGCAAATTTTCCAGCCCAAGGCAGGTCCTCTCTCCAGCCCCAACTTTAGGTATGGCCTGCAGGACCAGTCAGTACACTTTAAAGACCCATCTGTTCATTCCACATCCATTGCCTGAGTATTTGCTGTTTTTCCTGCACTGCAGTAGGTGAGAATTGGAAATAAATGAAGCAGATAGGCCCCATCATCACTGTCTCATTCTCAAAAGCATGGAAATATCACCCACTTTCCTTTTAGGAAAAGGGGAATGCAGTGCATCATGGAGGGATCACACAGAACCTCAGGACAGGGCTATAAGTAAAAATCCTTGAGAACCACAGAACCGTGAAACAGTATTAAGCATATTCTCATACACCTAGCAGTTATTTTTAAAATGCAAGCTCAAATAGAAAAGCTAATGTAAGAACACTACAACCTAGGACATTTCTTCCAGGCCTCCTGGAAAGATGTGCACAATGCTGTTTCTATTCCTCCGACATTTGCAACCAAAAGAAGAAATACCACAGTCCGGGATGGTTTGTAATTCCCCTTCCAGCTCTCATGATACCACTGACTTCCTAACTTCACAAGGTCTCTGCTCCCAGCAAAGCCTTGCAAGGGAATAAATAAATAAGTCAGGAGTTAGGACCCAGGGATACTTAGAGGACATGACAGCTGCCTGGAAATCAATGAAATGTGCTTAAAGATGCATCAGACTGATGGGAGATACGGTTTGAATTCCTCTTACCCATCTGTTCAGGTACAAGTGTTCCTCTTTTGACTGGGAGTGATTGTACTTTCTATTCAAAATTCTATCTAGAAAAGGAATTTATTGTTTGGGAAAAGGAAAAAGACTGCCCTCCCAAAACTAACAGACGTCATGGTGTTCCCAGATTTTTTTACAGTACTTCTCATCCTGGCTGTGAGCTCCTCAGGTAAGGTCAACATGTTCACTTAAAAACCAAGGGTGGGATGGTAGAGTGGTTTAAGAAGGAAGCAGACAGCAGCCTGGCGTATATACTGGTAGGGACTTGGAATGTATCTACCAGGAAGTTTGAATGACAGCTGTTAAGTGTGGATACTATTGCCAGTGCCATGGAACCTAAATGTTTCTAAGATGTCATCAGCCATTCCAGAATTCTGAGAACTTTGGTGGTGCCCTGGGAAATCTGGGATCAAGAGAGTCCTTTAAATTGGGGCTGGTAATTTAATGGGATAGATTAGATGGGCAAAAAGTTGCTAAAAATTAATTTTGAAAAAATGTTAAAGAATGTTCAAAATAAATACATTTTCTAAAAAAAAGTTTTTAAAAGCTGATAAAAGAGTTGATGACATTTAAAAGTTGGCATGGTATGTTTGGTGACTACTACCTACTGACTACAACTGTTTCCTTCTATGTAAGGACATAGAAGCAGCCTTCTTGGATCTATTTTTAGACCTGTGTAAACATCTGAAGTAGGTTTGGGTGCCATGTTATACGTGTATAGATGCATGCAAGTGTCTAGAGATAAATTTGAAGTGACAGACCTGGAGTAAGGAAGACTTGGTTTAAATCCTCTCTCCTATTATTGTAATTACATATATGTGCACACATAACTATTGACAGCAGAGGAGCACTGGGGCAGAGGGTGAGGAGCATACAGTAACAGAAAAGCAACAAAGAAGGAAAAGGAGAAGAGAGAAAGAGGAGAGGCTATTGTGAGTTTTAAAATTAATTCACTTTTTCTATTGCTTCAAACATCAAATTTGGCAAATTTCTGTATTCACTTTTCTATATAATGGCCCTTCAAAATCAAAAAAGTCAGTGGATTTTACAGTAAATTTGCTATTTGCATTTCTGATAAATTTTCACCTAAGCTCCTGTTTATCTTTTTTATAAAACAACCAGATTCTTTCTTTTCTTTTCTTTAAGGGAAAAATTGTTTCATGGCTAACAATAGTAGAAAATACAAACCTTCTTTGTACATGGATGCCTCTGTACAATATGTGTTTCATAAGAGCATTACAAATGGTTCATAGGCACTTGGTCAATCAAAGGGACGGGGAGTCATAATTACTGACCTCAGCCGGCTAGGGAAATATCTTAATTATACCTTTCCAGCATAAATTTTGTAAACCCTAAGGCACTATAGAAATGTAATCCATTTTGATGGGAGAAGGGACTGGCTTCTGGGGTTAATCCCTGTATTCATGCAACTCAACCAAACCATTGATGTTTGAGGGGGGCCATGTTGGGTATACAAAGATGAAAAATGGCACAGTCCCTGCCCTCAGGTGCTTACACTTTAATAGGGGGGCTAAGACATGTAAACATTATCTATTATGTGAATGAGAATGAGAAAAATCCAGAGTAAGATCAGAGATGCAGGAGAGGGCTGGAGAAGGAATGATCTCCTCTAGATAGGGGGACCAAGGAAGACCTCCCAGACGAGATGACATCTGAGGTAATGTCTGACATCGTTATGTACATGTAGTAATAAAAGTTCCAGAACTATATAGAATTATGGGCATTGGTAACACACACACACATACACACACACACACACACACACACACACACACACACACACCCCTATGCAGGAACCTAGATATAATCTAGCCCACCCAACCCTCTCCCATTTTACAAGTAAAGAAACTGAAAAACAGAGGAGGGGACATAGCTGAGGATAGACAAAGCATTTATTAAGCACTTAATATGGTTGGTCCCTGTCTTAAACTCTGGGGACACAAATATAAACATGTAAATCAGTCAAGCTGCTCAAAGAGCTTATTATATCCTAATAGGGGAAGATAATACATAAAGAGGTGCTAGAAGGGGTGGAAGGAAGGGTGAGTAAACAGAAAGTGGTGTGGAGAACTAGACCCCCAGAAAAATAAGGTGAAAACTCACCTATAGTGGGGAGGGGATCCCAGGGTGGAGTCTGAGAAGAAAGAAGAGTAAGTGAGAAGGTCAGAAGAAGGTAGAGGTGGTGGTCCAGTAGAGAAAGCATAGATTTAAAGCCAGAAAAAATCTTGGAGTTTATCAAGAATAGTCCCTTCACTTTACTAGATAAGGAAACTGAGTCACAGTAAGGCATAATGATTTGCCCAGTGCCAATAGCTAGTAAGTTTCTGAGGCAGATTTTGAATCCAGGTCTTCCTGACTCCAAGGCCTGAGCTCTACCCACTACTACACTATATTGCTTAAAGTGGCAAAAGTTACCAAAATCAAAACTAAAAGAAAAACCAGCCATGACCGTCACGCCAGTCAGAAGCAGCTGGCTGCTAGGAGAAAACAGCAGCCTCGCTGATAGCATCCCTAATGGATAGCAACCATAGAGTTGGCTCTGTTACCCAGCATGGGCATGCCCCTCAGGACCCACAGCATACGGCCTCTTGAGACTGTGTACTAAATAATTCCCTGATTCTGATTCTGCTGAGAGAACAGCTTAGCAGCTCAGCCAGCCCTTCTGAGCCCTGGTGTGTCCTGCTGAAGGGAGAGGTGCCTCAGTCTGAGGGCTTTCTCAGTCTGTGACCTCCCTAGAGGGAGAAGAGAGCTCTGTTTCCTGGGGAAGCAGAGCTGCCTGCCTGAGAGTTTGCCAGGCTGGGCCCTAAAGGAATCAGCCAAGAGATTAAAATGAGGCTTGGGTGTGGGGCAGGTGAGGAGAAGGAAGAGTGTAGGGTACAGAATGGAGACAAGATATGCCCAGTTCATCAAGAGATGGTGCATTGTTTTAGTTCACAGCTAAACATTATGTTTTCTGAAGCTGTGTTGGACTGTCCAGAGCAAAGGCAGATTTGGGGCTGTTTTCTTGGTATTGATGGCTATACCTCTAATTGGACTCTTAGGTCCCTACGGAACAATGCCTCTGGGTGCCATAACTATTCTTTGGCTGCTATCCATAGGGTACCATCACCATGGGTCCATCTTCTCTTCAGGTCTTATAGGGGTAACAGCCAGGCTCTCTAAGGGATGGTCAGTCCTCCCTCCAGTTGCTGTACCTTAATTGTCACTTCTGCCCTGCCCGGCTTCTCACTACATTCAACTGATTTTGCCCCAGGCATAAGAATTCCTAGTTATGACTGGCATGGGATAGGGAGACGACAGGGAGAAATTTAGGCAAAGGGATTCCCGTGTTCATGGTGATCATATTCTCTGAACCAAAAATGAAGGAAAATTGTTTGACAACTTCTACTAGAGTTTCCTCCAATCAACCAAGCATTTTATTAAGCATCTACAGTGTACCAGGCACTGGGAGTCTCCAATGCCTCTTCATGGTGTAGAGCAGACCGTGGGTTCTCAAGACTATGCCAGTAGGGTGCAAGCTCTGGTAGATTCCAGTAAGCTAGAAAGGCTCCGAGTACATTCCCAGATACAGATTACCTGTCTATCATCCGCGGACTACTCTACCTAAGTTCAGAGAGGTTCTTCCCAGAAGGTTGGCTACCAGTGAATGTCTTTTTTCTCGAGTCTCTCAAATCAAACAACCTTTAACTAAGACTGTGGTTTCCAAACTATATAGCAACACCTCCTTTTTAAGCCAAAAAATTACTAGTCATCCCAAAACTTTTAGAAAAATAAAAATTTGTAATTAAATGTAAGCATTAAAATTTTAAATGATAACCATAATCATTCTTTAGGTATTTGCATTTTTCAAAAAGTGATAGAATTTTTTAAAAAAACCTTATTGTAGCATTCTTATCAAAATGAAGGACATTAAGAAACATAATACAAATTATGGTACTTTTAACTTCCATACAAAGATTGGTTGACTTCAAGTTTACACACTTCATATTCAAATACAGCAATCAGCATGACACAGCTCACTGACATTGTCAATTGCAGATAATTCTCCAAACTAGACTCCCTTTTGTTGACCTGATTAAACCCTTTGTTAATAGGTACTTACACAGGACGTCTTTCCTAGTGGTATAAAAGATACTCCCACCAGCAAACTTACAGTTGGTCTCTGTGGAACAAAAGGCAATTAGAGGCAGCTATGTGGTACAGTGAATAGAGTGCCAAGCCTGAAGCTCAAATCTGGCCTTAGACATTTACTAGCTATGTGAACCTGAACAAGTCACTTTACCTCAGTTTGCCTCAGTTTCTTCATCTCTAAAATGGGGATGATAATAAAATCTAACTCCCAGGGTTGCCGTGAGGATCAAATCAGCTAACCATTATAAAGCATTTAGCATAGTACCTGCACATAGTAAGCTCTATATGAATATTAGCTATTATTATTTCCTGGTCTGGGAATACCTAACCTTCTGATTAAGGTAGCATTGTATAGCAGAATGAACATAGGACTTGGGAGTAAGTCAGAGAGGACTGGTCACTGAACCACTCACACAGTGGACCTCAAAGAGAAAGACTAATTCTATTCCTGATTTCCTTCTTCCTCTTTTCTGAGTGTATGGGAACTCTGAAAACTCCCTTGGACTCCCCATAGTAGGGAGAGGATTTTGTTCTCCTCTCCCATTCCTCGCAGCTATGGTAGATACTCAAATATGGCAATGAGCACACGGGCTACCTAGCTAAGGTTGAGCCTGAAGGACTTTGGACTCCTGTTTACCTCTTCTGTTTTACATTTATTTCTCTGAGCATAGGTGACCAAACAGTGATCCTGCGATGGACTTTTCTAATCTTGAAGGCAACCTCATAAATATGAGAAGTCAGGCAGTCCTGAATCCTTCAGCTCCTAAATCCTGGCTGGTAGAGGGAGTTTTTTGACACTATATCCTTCTAGGAGAAAATGACAACTGCTACAAGTATGAACCCAAGCTATGGCCTGGCCTTCCAGAAGACAAAGACCTTAGGGACATGTTCAAACCATGCAGAGCTGAGGTGAAGAAGAAATGACTATTCAGCAGTCCCATAAAATGTTTCATATTTTGATATTTTAAATATTGACCATTTGAGAGACTATAATGAGACTCGTGGGGTTATTGCATG